GTGCGTAGCGAACCAATCTTGTATCGCTCAGCTCTCTCTCTCTCTCTCTCTCTCTCTCTCTCTCTCTCTCTCTCTCTCTCTCTCTCTCCCCCTCTCTCTCTCTTCTTCGTCGTTTTCTTCCTTGCAGGTACGCAGCACCTTCTTCCGCAGCGAAGCTATGGCGGACTTCTTCCTCACGGCGGCGCTCTTCAACTATGGCGCCCTATGGCGCGCCTCTCTCCTGCTGCAACGGCGATGGCGCATGGGATAGCGGGTACCAGCTCCGATACCAGTGCAATCAGACTCGCTTTCATTAACACTTCAAATGCATGCAAACAGGTTGTGCAGCAAACTGGCGTCAAGCGCCCACTCAGAACTCAGAGATATGGTAACCCAGAACGCAGCTTAGATACAAGTTCACTTCAACTGGCTATGGCAGCACATCGCCGGTACAAGTCTCTGTTCGTCACTTACTCGACACTGCTGGTCGCACACAGGATCACCCTGGATATCCCACACACATCACACTCTGTACACTCACACACACACACACACATCTACAGCTATGGCGGCTATGGACGCTGCTCCTTTATCGCTATGGCTAAGCTTCTTCTCGCCCACTTCGTCCTCGGGCTCACTGCAGACCACCTCGCATAAGTCGCTATGGCAGCGTTTCCGCATGGCTTACGCAGGAAATGAATGAATGGCTGGTTGCTGCCTATCAATTTATACTTGTGTAGCTCGTTGGTCTGGCCCTTTCCCATGCCTGTGGTGCACACAGTCCCGTACGGTACTTGCTGGACTGGAGTAGGACTGACTGGGACTGGGACTGATGACTCGGCACCGGTAGACTCCACCACTTGCCCACTTGCCTCTGTCTCAAACGTGAGCAGCTTCGAAAGGCCACTTCCGGACCCTCCGGAAGTTCGTGGACTTGGCCTTTCGAGCACTGTAGCATACGACCTTGACCTTTCAGGATCCCTACAGCTATGACCTCTACATGGCTGTGACTCCTACTCGACAGACCTACAGATCGAACCCCTACCACTACACAGACCTACGACAGACAACAACAACTGTCAAAACACAGGTCACGGGTTCAAACACTCGGGGTCGACACAGATACTGTACACAGGTGAGGTGAGAACTAGGGATCGAGCCCTGGGATCTGTATTCGCTACTGCTAAAAGGTGAAAACCATTTCATGATGGTGATGATTGGCAGTTTGATAGCACAACTTGTGGATTCTGTTTTTTTGAAAATTTTGAACCTTTTTCGATTTCTCTGACTGTGAACTTGGGGGTGCGTGACTGAGTTCACAAACTAACCTATGCTGAGTTGCTGTGTGAAATGCTTGTTCCTTTCTTTTTTTTTTTCCCCTGGCTTGTGGGTAATGTGCCACAGCAATCATCAGCAAGACGGATGCCAGGAACGGCTGTCACAAAACCAGTCGTCACACATGAGCCCGGTGGGAAGAAGAGGGAGGAAGTTTTTGTGGACATCATTGAGAGGATAAGCGTGACTTTCAGCTCCAGTGTAAGCCTTTTGTTGAATTTCGTTCTCCCTTTTCGTTTGCCCTTTGTTTGGTCTATCTATTTTTCCATACTTGCAATCGCACCGTGCGCTGTGCCGTGCAGCAGCATACAGTGCGCTGCACGGGGTGCGGCGAGGCACCTGCTTGTGCGACGTACCAGCGGCAGTTTCCCTTTTGTTGTTTTTTTTTTTTGCTGATTTTGTAGATACAGAAGAGTGCAACACAGGAACTGATCTTTTCAAGTACAGTCGTTCATGTTTTTCTTTCCGTCGAATCTGGCATAAGAAATAGCCTCAAAGGTGTCTGGGACATCAGTCTTGACCTAAACGGCATTACCCTCCTCCTAGTTTTTTTTTTTTTTTTTCCATCCCACAACAAATCGTTAAGGGGGATGCAGGTGACCATTGACCCAGCCATGCGACCCCTTTTTTTTTCTGAGTGAATATTTCGCCCGTGCGCCGCACATGCCATGTGCACACCGTGCGGGTCCGCTCGTGCGCCAAAGGTGAGGAATTCTCCACACGGCGTCCACTTGCATGTATAATATTTTCTCATTCTTTCCTCCTTTCTGTCCTGTAAAAGTTGTGGATGTGATGACATGTTTTTCAGTCCTCCTCCACTTCCTCTTTTTTTTTTTTGCCCTTTCTCGACCAGGTTTTGAAGCCTTTTTTCCTTTTTTCAGGATTTGAAAACCTTGACTAGTTCGTCAACAAGATGTGTAGGTGTGTACCAGTTGGCAAACAGGCAAGTCTTCAACTCCTGGTTATGGTTCGTACATCATTTGTTTGTGGGCGTTGCTCCACTACACAACATACATCTGTGAGGATTGAGCCCTCAAGTAGGGGCCTTGCCATGATGTACATGTTCTGGGCTAAGGCCCCAGGAAGCCTAGTGCCCGCCCTAAGTGAAGGCGGGCCAGCAAATCAACAAGAGCCCTCTGTGCCAACATTTCACGAAGTGGGGTCTATACAGTTGCAGCACGCCAGTTGGTTGGAGTGCACCGAGTCTCGGATTTCAGCAAATGCTGAAAAGCCCAGGGCCTCTGAGTTAGTTAGGCCCTGGGCACTCGAATGTGAGGCCGATAATGCATGCTGGGTAGAGAGGCCGAAAATGCCAAAGGGAAATCGGCCCACTGTCTGAATCTGGCCGCAGGCCTTGATGAAGGAGGCGCAACTGCATTGCCCCGGGGCCCAACTGTATCGAGTTGGCTTCAGCCTCTGGGCCCCGGTCACAGGCTGAAGGGAGGCCGCCCACACGCTGCACTGGCATATAGGCAAGCAGGGCGAGGCAGCAGGGATCTTGGCCATTGTGGGCAATGCCAGCACGCTGTGCAAATGCGAGCTGCTGGCTGCTGCGCTGCGCTAAGAGAAAGTGCAAGGCAGGCATGCGCTAGGCGGTAGGGCGCTGCCTGTGCACTGGGCGCTTGGCGGCCATAGCCGGGCTGCAGAGGGCGCAGAGGGGTGAAGGGCGAAGCTGGTACTTCGGAGGTGAAGGGCGCTGTGTGGGTAACAAGGGAGAGTGTGGGGAAGAGGACACATACCTGGTGATGGTGGAGGTCTGCATTGGTGTTGACATCATCACTCGCTGGTAGTCAAGTTGTCTGGTTGCTGTTCATTGCTGTAGTTGTAGGATAGGCTGTAGAGTAGATAGGGCGCCTGGCGCCATTCACAAGAGAGAGCTACATTTGGGTTATGCTGTTGGTGTTGCCCTGTTGAGCATGGACATTGACTCACGATTCTTCTGTATCATTCTCAATGGGATGGTTACTCGGTTCCATGTGCTATCTGCTTTGGCTTTGAATACTTGGACTTCAGTGTGATTTTGCATTCTGGATTTCTGTGCTTCGTCCATACTCATGTTCCTTGCACATCCTGTATCTGGACTGTATTTTTGATAGGATACATCCAGACCATACTTGCGGCGCACCGACCCTGTGCGCTGCGCGGTGCACCGCGCGCTGTGCGGTGCGCGGACCCGAGGTGCGCGCGCACCGGCGCGCGCCGCGCACCCGGGTGCGCAGTGCGATGCGCGCTGGTGCGCTGGGGGGTGCGCGCTGGCGGGGCGCAGGTGCGCCAGGTGCGCATATTATTATTTTATTTTACTGTTTGTTTAGGTATTTATTTTACTGTTTTTTTTTTATTTTAGGGAGAGAGAGAGAGAGAGAGAGAGAGAGAGAGAGAGAGAGAGAGAGAGAGAGAGGTCTCCAACGTCGCGGCTGGCCTCCTGGTACTTCCATCGAAACGACGAGCAAAATCGAGTGAAT